CACAGCAAGGGGTGTGAAGAGACGCTGTTCACACTGCCTTGACGAGCCCCTCCTCTCGCCCGCGCCGCACCTCCTGCGCCGGGAGGGAGGGGAGCGCGGTGCGCCACAACTCCTCGAAGCCCGCTTGCTCCGCCGGCGAGAGCTGGCTCCACCCCGACGCCGCCGCCTTCTCGACCAGCCCCTCCGCCTAGAAGGTTCCTAGAAGGTTCCTAGAAGGTTCCTAGAGGCCGCCTTCTCGACCAGCCCCTCCGCCTCGTTCCGCCTCTGCCGCGCCGCGTCGTCCCCGCCCGCCGCCGGGAGGAGCTTCTGCGCCAGGCCGAGCCGCGCCTGGAACTCCTTCCTCTCGTCGCGGTCAAGCAGGTTGCGGTTGGTGCCTGTACAAGGCAGGCTCCCGAGACGGTGGGGGGGGGGAAGGTCCGAGCAAGGGAAGGAGGGAGGAGGCTGCGGTCGGCGCCGGTCCCGAAGGCTCCCTGCCGCTTGCTCTCTCGCTCGGACCGCTGGAGCAGCCGCATCTCGCGTTGCACCTTGAGCTGCACCTCCTTCACCTCGGCCGAGCCGGGCTGCAGCTCCCGCGCCAGGCTCGCCTAGGAGACGGGCCCCGGCAAGGCTCCGCGGCACAGCGGCGAGGCGAAGGCTGCAGTGGCTGCGCAAAGCTCGCCGCGCTCCACGCCTCGCGCCAATTCTCGAGGCCTGCGTGCGCCTAGAAGGTTCCTAGAAGGTTCCTAGAAGGTTCCTAGAAGGTTCCTAGAAGGTTCTCGAGGCCTGCGTGCGCCTGCGCCGCCCGAAAGTGCGCCTTTGCGCGCACCTGCGCGGCCGGCCCGCTCTTGAGCGTCTCGGAGAGGTCCTCGAGGGCGGAGACCAAGTGCGCCTTGGACGCGTCGCCCCTCGCCACCGGCTGGAGCCCCGGCGTCGGTGGCGGCGCGCCAGGCGGCGCCTCCTCCTCGCCCGCCGCGGCGGCGGCGAGCTTGAGCTTGGCGGCGGCGGAGTTGAGCAGGCACGGCACGCGCGCCTTGTTAGGGTTCGGGTTCGGGTTCGGGTTCGGGTTTGGGTTTGGGTTGGGGTTTGGGTCTGGGTTTGGGTTTGGGTTTGGGTTTGGGTTGGGTGTTAGGGTTAGTTGAGCAGGCAAGGCACGCGCGCGCCTTGTTGATCTTGCGCAAGTCCTCCGAGCCGAGCCCGCGGCCGAGGTCGCCCAGCTCCGCCGCCTCCTGGTCGCGCGCCACGTTTGCAATCTCGTACTTGAACATGGCGAGAGCATAGCCGTACTCGTCGAGCGCCTCCTTGAAGCGGCCCGCCTGTTCACAGCTCGGGTGTGAAGAGACGCTGTTCACAGCTCGTCCCTTCTTGAAGCGGCCTGCCGTGAAGTGGTCGTTCCCCTCGGCGCGCATCATCTCCGCGGTGGCGAGCCGCTTGGAGAGCGGCTGGCGGGCCTGGTTCTTCCACAGCCGCTGCAGCTGGCGCTCGGTCTGCGGGCGGGACGGGAGAAGCGATCGGGCGTGGTGAGAGGTGGTGTGGTGCAGTGCGGCGCGGCGCGGCGGCTGCAGGGCTGGCTCGGTGCGTGTGCCGCCCGCCTGCCCGTCGAGCGCCCCTCTCTCCGCCTCGCGCCGGCACTCGGCCATGTCTGGCATCGGGTTGTGTGCACCCGCGCCGCCGCCGCGCCCGTCCGACGGCGGCGGCTCGAGCGCCGCGCGCTGCGCCGCCAGCTGCGCCTCCACCTGCGCCCCGCCCGGCACGGATCGGCCCGCCGCCACGGCTCGCCTCAGCCGCAGCGTGTACAGGCCGCGCCGCGGCTGCGGAAGCGAGCGGAGCAGCTCCGCCGCGCCGCCGCTGGCGGTGCAGGCGTGGCCGTTGATGGCGACGAGCTCGTCGCCTAGATCCGCGCCGTCGGGTGCCTCAGCGAGCCGCCCTTCCCCCTCCGCTCCTCCCTCCCCCCTCCTCCCGAGGCTCGCCCGCGAGGATCTCTCTGCACGACGCGGCGGGCGTGCCGGGCCGGACGGCAACGACGCCATTGTCCGGGTCGAGGACGAGGCCCATCGGCTCGTCCCCGCGCCGCGCCAGCTTGACCTCCAGCTCCTCCGCCTCCAGCTCCTCCAGGGCCGCCGCGCTGAACGGGATCTCTCTCTCGTCGTCGCAGTCGGAGCTGCTGTAGCCCTCGCCGGCGTCAGACTCGGAGTACGCCGGCCCGTTCTCCTCAAGCACGCACGCGTCGTCCGCCTCCTCGCAGCCCACAGGGTTGTCCTCGAGCAAGCAGCCGAGGTCGCCCTCCACCGGATTGGTCTCGAGCAAGCAGCCGCCGCCGTCGTCGAACGCAGGGTTGTCCTCGAGCAGGCAGCCGCCGAGTTCGTCGAGTGCGAACTCGGGGTTGTCCTCGAGGAGGCACGAGTCGGCTGCGCTCTCCTCTTGCGGCATGGAGGGGCAAGGGTCGACCCTTGGAACTGTGCGACGCTGGACCACAACAAAAAGGTGAATTTTTCCTTCGCCTTCGAGTTAGAATTTTAGAACAAAACTCCCTCGCACGACACTGGGCACCTTGGAGTGCTGGGGGGGGCGACAGGAGGAATGTGGCCCTGAGTTATGTGTACGCCAACTCAGGGTGTGTGGCAGCCAGCTGGCTGTGTGTGTGTCTTGTGAGCTTGTTTGTGTCTGTGTGTCGTTCGTGCGTGTCGTCATCATCTGTCTTGCGTCCACCCATACCGCGTTGGTGTCCAGTCCGAGCCTGGCTGTTCTTCACCTTTCTACCTACCTACCTACTGGGCACAGGACTGGGCACGGGACTGGCTCGCACTGGCACTAACGAGTTAGAATTTTACAACAAAACTCCCTCGCACGACACTGGGCACAGGACTGGGCACGGGACTGGCTCGCACTGGCACTAACACAGGTACACCGAGTTAGAACTCTCATGTTAGGAAACAACGCAAGGCGGACATGGCATATCGCTCTCGGGCCCACAGACATCCCGCACACCCGCCGCCCCCGCGCGCGCCCCACCTCGGCCGGGAGAAAGGGGAGTGACAGTTTGCGGTCTCAGCCCTACCTGGCCATTCTAGATTATAGAATGGCATCCTTACATCTAGAATGGCGTCTCGCGCGCGCTCACCCGGCCGCCTCGCAGCCCCAGCGGCCGGGGGGCGCTTGCCGGGGTTGGGGCTGGTCACACACAGGCGCCACTTTAACGCGGCGAGCCAGAGGAGTCACACAGGAGAGCCCCCAACATGCCACATTTTCAGCAGCAGACGGGCCGCGGTGAGGGCCCATTCTGTATCGAAGAATGGGGTCCGCCGCCGTCCCCCACGGCCTTCTCACGCCCCCAGCGGCGGCGTGCCGCTCGGCCAGACTGGTGGGGTTCGCGCACAAGCCCCAGTTCAACACAGAGAGCCCAACAGTCCGCAAATGAGAGTCCTCCCCCCGCCCCCAAACCAGAGCAGACGCCGGGGGGTGCGCCACGTATGGCAAAAGCAAACGCACGATGGCCGCCGGCGGCCGTTGAGCGCTGCCGCCGTTCGAGCCTTGGATGTCAGTCCGTCGCCGCCTGTGGCGATGGTCCACCGACACCATGAGGAGCGCAACCATCATGGCTGCAGCCTCAGACTGACCGGGTTAGGTCATATTACCGGCGTGGTGGCCCAGAAGCGCGACATTTGCTGCCCGCAGAGCGTTAGCAGCCCACTCTCCGGCACGTCTGTGCGTCGTGCGGGGCTGAACTTCAGGCACGCTGCACGCGGCTTATCGTCGAGAATAGCTCAACCCCGGCCAGTGAGTGATGGATCTGATCATAATCAATCCCTACTGTGCTGGGGGGCTCTCAGATCAGCCGTTCAGAGCTCTGATATTGGTTCCCGGCAGAAGATCCTCTGGGGGGAGGCGGGGGCCCCCGGAGGCACCGTGCGCCGCGCCGCAGTGCGGAAACGGGGCCCCGGCTCTACTAGTCTCTACTAGCACCGACTTCCCGATTAAGCTAGGTTAATCAGAGGGCAGATTTGGAGAGATCTCGAGGAGTACATACAGATAGACCCTCCAACCATCAGAAAACTCCGACCTGATCGGTCGTACTGACCGCCGACAGATCACTCCAGACAGCAGACAGGCCGACGTCTGCACGTGGCCGGCCGGGCGAGAGGCTTGACACGATCCGACCCTGCGACCCTGACGCTGCTGCTCTAGCTATCAGACAACTGCTGACTGCTGCCACAATGTGTGACCGGTGCTGGCCCACTTGGCGGCCTTCCCGGTCAGTGGTGAGGCGCAGTTCAGAGCTGTCGATGGCGCGATGCCGCACCGGTCCCACATTGGTGACACGAGACCACCACGTTTGCCGGTCCAAGAGAGAGGCACTGGCGCTGTCCTGAGAAAGTGCATGGTCCCTCTTGACTGCCCATGCGCGCGAGGCTGTGTAGGCATAGCCTCGAGAGTGCCAGCAGCCAGTCGCCGAGGCAGTCTGTGACGCGCATTGCGTCAGAAGCGTGCACACGATAGAAGGACACCTTCCTACTGACCGTAGGATCAGGTCGTCACTGAATGCTTGATACTAAGGCCGCGAGCTATGCAGGTGGTCAATTGTGCAGCATGGCACGGTCAGCAGCGCCGACAGGCTGTCGCAAGGCGTGATAGCATGGCCGCAAGTACAGCGAATTCCCATGAAACAAGTAAAAAATCGCGCAAAAAAGAAAAAAAAGTCCCAAAAAATCGGCGCCTGCGGCGGGCCATGGGACCCCATCTCCCCCCCGCATGGATACCCTCCAGGGCCCCCGCCTCCCCCCAGAGAGAAGATCCTCCAGAGGATCTTCTGCCGTCGGCCAAAAAACCGTGTTCAAACGAGACACAATGACCCAACAATGACCCCCACGGCCAGCCTGGACATGCAGCCGACCCGGCCTGGCCAGCTGGGCCATCGGGGCGGCCGCCATCGGCCGTAGGACCGCGCTGCGGTGCCGAAAGGGGCTGGAAGATCCGCCAGCGCCTCTTCGGCACTTAAGAGATAAGAATATCGACGGAGCTCGCACGCGAGCAAACCCTCTCACTGCCCCAGCCCCCTCTCCTCGAATCGCTCGATCTTCTTGGGCAGCAGCTGGTACGACAGGTCCTCTCCGTGGCCAAGGCAGCCGCGTTCGCCCAGACCCCAAGCATGAACACCGCCGTCGGCGGCGATGGCGAAGCTATTGTATTCCGCAGCCGACACAGCGACGACGCGCTGCCCAGCGAAGGCCTCGACCTGCTTGGGCAGCAGCTGGTCCTGCTCGTCGGGTCGTCGCCGTGGCCCAGCCGGCCAAAGGCTCCATCGCCCCAGCTCCAGACGGCGCCGACCCGTCGGCGGTGAGGGCGAGACTGTGGCGGACCCCAGCCGACACGGCGATGACGCGCTGGCCGGGAGGTCGCCTCCTTTTTACCCATCTCATCACAAGAGTGTACAGAGTAGAGGTGTCCGTTTTTTTATTTTCTTTGTTTATTTATTTATGTTCCCCTTCTTCAATGAAGAATTCGCAGCTGGGTCATGTTACGCTTACGGCTCTATTCGGATACAGCGTGTCTCCAGGCATACACACGCTATGGCCCCAACGCTATGCCCGCCTTGCTTCCTACTCGTCCAAATCGCTGTCCTCTCCGTCGCTGCTGTCCTCTCCGTCAGAGGAAGCAGGCGTGGGCGGCCGGCTCGCCCACGCCTCGACCTTCTTGGGCAGCAGCTGCTTCGACAGGTCCTCTCCGTGGCCTAGGCGGCCGTCGTCGCCCCCGCCCCAGGTGAAGACGGCGCCGTCGGCGATGGCGATGCTGTGGTATGTTCCAGCCGACACAGCGCCCTCGCCAGCAAAACCCTCGACCTTCTTGGGCAGCAGCTGCTGCTGCTCGTCGCCGTGGCCCAACTGGCCATCCTCTCCATCGCCCCAGCTCCAGACAGCTCCGTCGGCGGTGATGCCGAGGCTGTGCCATGCTCCCGCCGACACAGCGACGACTCGCCGGCCAGCAAAGGTCTCGACCTTCTTGGGCAGTGGCTGGCCCTGCATGTCGCCGTGGCCCAACTGGCCAACACCTCCCTCGCCCCAGCTCCAGACGGCGCCGTCGGCGGTGATGGCGAGGCTGTGGATGCCTCCAGCCGCAACAGCGACGACGCGCCGCCCAGCAAAGGCCTCGACCTTTTTGGGCAGCAGCTGGCGCTGCCGGTCGCCGTGGCCCAGCCTGCCATTGCCTCCTGCGCCCCAGCTCCAAGCGGCGCCATCGGCCGGGTGGCGAGGCTATGGCGTCGTCCAGCCGACACAGCGACGACGCGCCGGCCAGCAAAGGTCTCGATCTTCTTGGGCAGCAGCTGGTCCTGCTCGTCGCCGTGGCCCAACCGGCCAAAGTGTCCACCGCCCCAGCTCCACACAGATCCGTCGGCGGTGAGGGCGAGGCTGTGGTATGCTCGAGTCGCCACGCTCACGGCGCGCTCGTCACCCAGCATTGACGGGAGGCGGGTCGGCGTGTTGAGCTGCGTCACGCCCTCGCCGTGGCCGAGAAGGCCTGGAAATTCCTCGTCGTCGTCATCCTCCCTTGCCGCTGACCCGCACGACGAGAGCCGCCCCTCGCCGTCGATGAAGACGCTGTGCTGTGCGCCTGCCGCCACCCTCACCGGCGGGTTGGACTCGCACAGCAGCGCAGACAAGCACAGCCACCGCACGGCACAGCCCTCGCCCTCTGGCTGCGCCGGCAGCTCGAAGCCGCGCTCTTGCGCCCGCAAGCGGATGCCCTCCACCGCAAGCGACCCGTGGAAGAGGAGGGAGACGGCCGCGGCGCGAGCGATGTCGACGGGGTCGCAGCGAGAGACGACGCGCACGAGGAGGTCGGTGGGGAGGTCGAGGAGGCGGGCGGGCGGCGGCGTGTCTGGCGAGGGGGCGGCAATGGAGGAGGCGGCGAGGCGGCGCGAGCGGCGACGCAATTCAGACATCGCGAGAAAAAGAATTACCCGCCGGTCCCTGGCTTGGGCTTGGTTTTTATTTGCGCCACGAGCGGCAGGAAGCGTGGGCAGCAGCAGCGCGGCAAGGGCCGCGGTGCCAGGGGCCGTGCCGATGCTGGACCCCGTCTCGTTGACAAGAACGCGCTGTCCGAACAACTCGACGTGGCGCA